CAGCGGCGAACACACTGCCCTTGAGGCAGAACGTGAAACTACCAGGAGAGACCCCTATGCCCAGATATGACCTCAACTTCTTCATTGTATGAAAATTGGGGGGTGGGCGTTTGCCCGGGCATGGACGCTTACCCAGATACATACGGTATAACCTAAGATGTTTTGATGCCAGCCAACACTTGCAATTGCCTTCCATCATACATGTATAAATCAAAGTATATTATATTCATGATTGTAGGACGTAGACGAAGATCTCGTAGTTACTCCAGCTCTGAAGATGAACGGGTAAGATTACAAATCAAAGCATTTCCAAGGGTCACCATGACCTGTTGGTCAGTTTAGCTTACAAGTTATTCAATTGCAATCAACCTTACATACCATACTGTGGACTGTTCTACTGAAACAAAGAATGGGAAATTCTTTTTTTTATTGTATGTGCAGATTATGCCTATGGTGATGATCATTTATAAAGACCCAATCAAAATTAAGATCAATGACTGACTGTTAATGTATTCATTGACCAATGTGTGTAGGTCATATTGTAGCAGTCTCAGAGACCTCAAAATTTCTGATCTAGTTGAGACATGTCACTTACATGACAATGCTTATTAAAGCGGGAAGGTTGTTATCTGCGCACGTGCAGGACTTGAGTCCGAAGGTTCATGGGTAAACGCTAGTTTGTAAACAATGGCACGCTATGGCCATCTGACGCATGACAAACTCCCTGGCTTAAAATTCTATTCACTTTTGGTTTATTTGCCCTGTATTGTGACAATCGTATACATTTACATCCATTATTCATACATCATATTTTTTTTCAATCTACATACCATCTGCAGCCATCTCGTAACCTTGGTGATAAGGTGGCCCGGCACTACAATCAACTGCCTGAGTCAGGAATAGAAGCTCGTAGCCAGAGCCGAATTTTCTACCTCCGAAACTTCAACAACTGGATCAAAAGCGTGTGCATAGCTGACACGGTGCAGAGAGTCCGTGATCGAAAAGGAGACGATTGTAAGATCAGTGTGCTGGACGTGGGTTGCGGTAAAGGTGGCGATATATTGAAATGGAGAATTGCTCATATTGATAAGTTAGTTTGTGCAGGTGAGTATTCAGCATTGTAGCGTTTGCTGAAGGTTGTGGTGTTTTGTGGATGAAACGTAAATTGATTGATACTGTACATGTGTATTGACTTGTTGTAAATTAATTACCATGTTGTGGTTGCAGATATTGCTGCAACATCAGTACAACAATGTGAACAGCGCTACGAAGACAACCTTGAACGAGCTCGGCGAGCCAGGCAACGAATGTTCCGTTGTCAGTTTATCATTGCAGATTGCTCAAAGGTTTGTGAGCAGCATTTGTATATAAATTATCATTCTTTTATTTATCTTGTAAGTCATTGAATGCAGCATTGTAGGCTTCAATGCACGACGACTGTGAAGAGCATAAATCCTGGTAGTTTCATTGGGGGATGAGGGGGGATTCACATGCATAATTCTATAATGCTGCCATTGAGAATTGTCAGGATGTGCCACTTTTGGGGGCATGCACAATAGTTAGACCACATTGAGTTGCAGGTTACTTCTTCTTTATTCAGTGTGGCTTCAGAATCATAAAGTTCAACCACTGTCCATCTGAATTATTTTCAAGCTAAATCAAAACATAGCTAATTCTATTTTCTTTTGTTTTGGGGCAGAAACTTCTATCGGAAAGGTACAAGAGCCGAGACCAGATGTTTCATATCGCGAGTTGTCAGTTTGCACTTCATTACTCGTTTGAATCTTACCAACAAGCCGACAACATGATAAAGAATTTATGCGAGCGAATTAAACCAGGTGGCTACTTTATTGGCACAACGCCAGACTCCTATGAAATTGTGTAAGTATT